AAAATCAACATGTTTTCTAATATTTCATTTATATTTTAGCATCGAGAATTGAATTCCTCTGCACAATATCATATGAAAATAGACAATTAAGTTTTCCATGAAATACTTTTATATGAATTGTGCACTCTTTATGTCTCTTGTGTGTTGCTCATTGTACAATGACTAACGATTTCACACCGTTGTACGGAACATATTGGTGTCTTTAGGTGTTGAGGATGTCTGTATAGTATTCTCAGATATTGCGATCGATTGCTTACCACAGTCCAAATTCGATCCATAATGCGAGGTTCTGTTTTCTGTGACAAAGCGCTCCCGCCCTCTCGTAATGCTGCCTCGCAATTAAACAGTCGTCTTTTCCGCCCCTCCGGGTCAGGGGGAGCCCCGACAGCCATGTAGAGGTGGCTACAGCAGTGTCGGACAAGATGTCAGACGCTCGCCTTGTGCGTCCATCATATCCTTTCCAGCTCAATAGAGCAAATGAAAGCTGTCGGGGAGAACATTTCAGCCATGATGCCCCTGACAATCAGATGAATTAGAACAAAGAGGGAGCATCAACTGTAAAGGATGTAATGAATCATTGTTGCAGTTACTTTTATTAAAGAAACAACTCTTCAACGCGATATTCCATATCACATAAATATACCCTAAACTATAAAAAGCACGAGTAATTTTGTATTGGAATTCTTATAAGTATTAGTGTTGGACTTGCGAGATGTAAAAACGAACTGACGAACTCAAAAATATTTTTTCGGAATCGTTTTTTATCCCCAGTCTTTTAGAACCAAAATATATTTTTTTCATTATTGAATTGTGGGTAGTAAATTCATAGAAGAAAGCATTATTTAGCATACTAGAAAAAATTATGCAGGCATACTTTTTTATATATAACTAGTTATTCTGAACGTGCAATTAAATTCATCATTTAATACTCGTTGACATATTTATGAAGAATTCCTTTTAATTAATATAACAATAAGACCATATTATTCCATATTTCTTGAAGTCTTATTATACAGCCTTCCATTCCACGTACCTTTCGGTTGCTGTTTTAATTGAAATAACCTTACGTACAACATCACCTTACTACATCTTCAACATTAGCGCAACCTCGTACGAGAGTGTGAATAGCAGCTCATGGTCGTCACATTACAGGCATTGTCACAAGATCGATATGCCTCGGTGCAACCACGCAAGGGAGGGTCAGAGGAGAGCTGGGGAGCGCACGATAAGTGCACGTGCCCACGTGGCGACTGCTCACGTGCACGAACAGGAAATTTGATCGGACGAGGAGTTGCCGGAGGGAGGAAAATAAACATTAGTCGTTTTATTAAAGCATATCTACTCTTACTTCATTATGAACGGCCAGTGTTGCGATACGGTCTTTCGTATCAGTCCCGTTTAGTAGATTAATTTTGGGAATTTAATTTCACTAAACTACCGAAGTACAATGAAATTAAAAGACGGTATGTTACAAACGAACGGATTGAAAATGAAAAATATAAGATTTAAATCACATAGTCATTGGCCATATGCCAAACGGTTTGTTTTGAAATAGGGGAATATCAAAAAATAGTAAGTTAAAATTAGAGTACTTGATGATAATGCCATTTCAACTCACCTATTACCTATACCTATTACTCAAAATTGAACTCAATATATCTTCATCTAAAACTGAAAATGTAAAATAAATCTCCATTAATGGTAACAAATCACAACAACATTTAGAAATCAATTTTAAAGTACATTTACTTATTGATTTCATATTCTTAAAAAAATATATTATACTATTTTTTAATAATTTATTTTCTTGCTCGACTTTTCAATACCTCAGTAGTTGGAAATTTCACTTTTCAATAGTATTTCGAAACTTGGTCTAAAGCAACATAATATTTATTAAACATGCCTGGCCCCGAAGCGTAGAGGTTGCAACGAAAGTCACGAGCTGCGCAGTTTGCGAGTTCGTATCCGCCTTGGCCACAGATATTCACTTAAAATTGTGGCTCGATGGAACTTGTACCAACCACCGAGAAGCACCTTCAATGGCCCATTCTTTTCCAGACCTCTCCTGCTAAAACAGTGTAGAAATATAGTGCGTGACAGGCTTTACCTGCCTGTATAGGTGCGAAAGCCCAAAATGGTCTAAAATTCGCTACGTGAGCGTCACTTGGCCGCCAGCGAACCTCCTTTCCGTGAGAAGATTCGAGCGTCGCTAAGGGCTTAGGATTCACTCGCGGTTGGACACGCATTTTGGTTGCAATGAGCTTTCGAGTCACAGTTAAGTTACGGAGTTCAGGCGAATTTTAAGGTACTTTAAGACGTAAAAGGTAGTGGGCAGAGAGCTTCAGCTAACCGCAAAGATAATTTGACGTTAAAACGCCTCATGATAATGATGATGACTTAACGGACATATTATTTATAGTAAATTTTAGTAAAATAAAGTAATTAGATTCGTTGTCACGAATGGAGTGGGTCAGTTCCCGCGACGACTATAGGAAATAAAACATAGGAAGGTGCACATTTGAACAAATATTTGTCTTCCAAGTGCAGCATTAACAGCCATTAGTGCAGAGTAGATAAAACAGTCACACAAAACAATTGCGTTCGTGTCTGGGGATTATACCATGTTTTCCATGTTTTGGGGTCGCTAAATCCCAAACCGGTGTCCATTTACACCATTATCTCAGGTTCTTGACATAACCTCAAAAATATAAAAATTGAAAGATATTTCTAACCGAAGGGTCAGACGACGTATATGTCTTTCGGGTCGCTAAAACCGAATCTGAAGACAATTTAACTTAATGACATAAGATTTTTCACATAATTTAAAAATTTAAAAAAATGTTTCTGTTTAAAAAGAAGGCTTGTATGTGGCGCCAACGATATAAGCAATTTGCCATACAACAATGTGATGAGTGTTGTCCCGTCAGGAGCCAATGTCATCTCTCTAAATTATAATTGATCTGGATTAAAAATTTGATGTTATGAAGTTAATTGGACTTCAGATTCGGTTTCAGTGTCCCAAAAACATATAGGTTACAAGGCCTAACCCTTCGGTCAGAAATATCTTTAACTTTTCATATTTTTTGAGATGTCAAAAAGCTGATGTTATGGAGTAAACATCGTTTACTCCATAACAACTCAACGTTTTTTATTAATTTTTTGTTCGATAATGTGAAGAACGATTACGAGAATGTTGCAGGTCTCGTGGTAGTTAAAAACTATAATTTTTTGAAAATTGCAAAAATTTAATTTTTTTTCGGCGTCTTCCTACAACCACAATTACGAAGATCGAGATTTTCAGCCTGAATGAAATCAGTTCTTTAAAAGTAAATTTTTAAATAATGTCATGTGTAATTATTCAAACATTTGAGTACTTTTCGCGCAATTTTGTGAGAAAGTACGCGCTATTTTAACACCACTAATTAGAATGTAAGAGGTCGAAAATATTACTTTTGCCCATAAACTCGAGGTTGTTAATCTCATATAACGAAGTTACACATGTGAAATAGACTTTGGTCGGGAACGTATTTTTCTGTGATATTTAGGAGACACACGAAATCTCATTGAACGCGTCAAAACCTATACCCCTAGGCCCTTGTTCCATTTATTCCGAGACTTGCCGGCGCTTGAAGCGAGTGAAGCTAACACGCGCGCGCGCTGCGTGTGTGCGTGCGTGCCGCAGCTACCTGGGCAGCTTCGAGCGCGACGGCGTGCTCATGATCGAGATGGAGTACGCGGACGGCGGCACCCTGCAGCAGCTGCTGCAGCGCCGCGCCGCGCGCCTCAGCGAGCGCGAGGTGCTGCTGCTCTTTCGGCAGATCGCTGCCGCGCTGCGCTACATGCACGAGCACAACATCCTGCACAGGTGCGGCCATTCGCGACCACGCGCTCCTTGACGTTGCCTGTGAAACTATTTTGTAGAATTTCCTCTCAACTTGTTCATATTTACATATTCCCATAACTATTTTCTTCTAATAATGTTACGCAACAACCAATAAGCATTTTCAAATGTCGTCAACAGCAACGCAATTAGTGAGAGAACTGTGAAGCTCAAACGACAGTTGTGCCATATTTGCGTCTAGATGTGGTTGTTTTCTTGAAGGAAGTTAGAATATACTCGTCCAGTCGCTGTCTGAAGGGAAATTCCAGTAAGCAGCTTCTCTGATCAGTAGTTTTTCGTGACTTCTTCGATAAATATCACCCGAATGCCGGATCAGTACTCTAACAAAGGGGCTACAGTCTGTCTGCGATTTTTCTTTCATCCTTGTCCTCACTTCTCCCCCTTCACACCAACTCATGCGTGGAGATCAGTCGGGCGATTGGAGATTGTCCCGGCTGAGGTTGTACCCCACTGGAACTAAAAACCTGAGGAGGGAAGACCCGTAAGCCAACTCGTATGGCGACGCCGAATCTCACGTTCTAGGGAGGGGGAGAACATTGCCAGAAGTTGGACATAATAAGTACAAAACCTATAGGAACTGAAATGGCAATTTATGCGCCCGGAAACACCGTTGAATCAAAACCGCGTTGAAATAGAATCTAAACTAGTGATGCTACAGAATGACTTTTCCGTATTAGTTTTCTATTTCTATTGATCTCGGCTAGCTACTCGGATTTGCTATATACTCTTGCCAGCTGCCATCTATTGCCTCACTAAGAATTTTTTAAATTTTCTTAATTTTTTGGTTTCCCGTATTAGTTTCCAAAGACCAGTAAAACCTGGTCCTAAATGGCAATTTTCATTGAAGAATTTGAATCCGTTTTTAAGAAAATGACGCTTAAGCTCTAATGAAAATTCGAAATTTTAAGGTCATTCTCACAGAGAATTTTTGAGTTCGGTAGTGATCAGAGCTGGTATGACGAAGGGAGGTCATACCAGCCCTGAGGAAGACCACGACAGGATGGTCGAAACGTCGGCAACACAGCCTTCGACGCGGTGTCACCCGGACACCCTAGATGACGCATTTGACTCTGGCCGCGGAAGCCTACGACTTCATTCGCCTTTATTAGCAGATAGATTGTGGAGAAAAGCGGCTATTGTAGTGCAGTCTTGGTTGCAAAAAATACACTGCTTGAAAATGTCCAATAGAGCGAAATCCTTTTACCATGAAGCTGCATAATAGTTGGCGATTGGCTGCATAATAGCTGCATAATAGTTGGCGTTGGACAACAAGAAAAGTCTTCTAAGCACGCTAATATTAAGTGCATGTTCCTTTGTGTTCGTAATGCCGGATTGGCCACAGAGCGTTACTCAAGCAGTTTTATTGGTTAAATGTTCAACATTGTTTTAGGGAAGTAAAAACATTGATGACGTAGATTGTTTAATAAACTAAGCATTTACCGATAATATTTCGAACTGTTATACAATAATTTATTTATTTCGCTTGTTTTGTGAGCAGTCATGATCTAATACAGTATTTTCTTACGTAGAGACCTCAAGACTGCAAATGTCTTCCTGACGAAGGACGGCACCGTGAAGGTGGGCGACTTCGGCATCTCCAAGATGATGTCTACGAGAGGTCAGGCGAACACTGTGCTCGGCACCCCCTACTACATCAGCCCAGAGATGGTAAGCGGAACAGGATAGACTAGGTAGTCGTAGGAGTAAACTTCCATAGTGTGTAGTTTGAACTTGTGTAAAGAATGTATATTTGCTAAAAGACATAGCTATACTTTTTTTGCGTTGTGTAAGATTGTTGCTAGTGAATATGTTTTGATAAATTAGAAAATACTTACTATAAAATATATTTAGAAAATTGATTATTTAGATACCGTATTTGCAGTTTCAAGGGGTGTCACACAGAATGTAAAATGGATAGAGTTTATGATAATGTTTTTCTAAAAATCATATTTTAGTATGTTTTTACATTTAATACTTTTTTATAATCATGTTGATCATATTTTCAGTGTGAAGGGAAACAATATGATCAAAAGTCTGATATTTGGGCCCTGGGCTGCATCCTCTATGAAATGATCTGCTTACAAAAGACCTTCGAAGGATCCAATCTTCCAGCTCTCGTCAATAAGATTATGAAGGTATATACACGTACTGGCGGTGTACAAGGAAAATAACAAATATGAAAATTCGTTATATGGAGTTAAGTGAAGAAATGTTCAGAAAATAATATATTTTTAAAACTTCATCATGATCGTTCATAAGACAGCCCCATATATAGTAAATAAGTTTATGTTTGGCAGCGAAATGCACTGTTTTTCTCAGGATGCACTGCGTTTTCTCACAAACTTACGATTAGCTTTTTAATGTGTTACTTTTCTTGTACACTAACAATATTACAGACATTGTAGCGTAATATATAAATCATAACACACAATTAAACATAATTAAGTACATTGAATGTAAATTCAAGAATACATGTGGCACCAATTTTATTCAAAACTACATAATTTAATATACATATATAACATATTTTTATAATACGCGCATTCTACTCCAAAACATGATCCAATATCAAATAAAACATCTCTTACTTTGTAGGCACAATATGAGTTCTAAACATTTTTTTAATTCACAAAATAATATTTTTTAAATGTTTTATTATTGACATGCTAAACGATTTTGATGTGATGTGTTTAATTTGTCATTAAATATTCAGTGAAATATTTACCAGTGTATTATTATCTATTAGTTTTCATCAATAGTATTTTGACTTAATAATGAGCATGACATTGAATTTACAATAACAACTATTGCAACAAAACAAGAATAAATGTCAGGTAGTATTGCTTAAAACATCTGCAACTTATAGTGGGTTTACAAGCATTCTTGATATTGACCTCTAATACATCAAGAGCACTGAAACGTCCAATCGAAAATGGCCTCGTTCTATTTGATCCCTCCCGTAGATATATCCGTCACACATGTCACGACTTATCGAATTCATAATAGAAAATATCTCGTGATGCTGCTTCGACCCATGGCAGCCCTTCGCTGAGTCAACATCAATATACACGTACGATGTTTGTTTTTTCATTTTCCTTTTTTCTGATACACAAAGGAAAAAGCATTATGTTTTATTGCGAAAAAATAGGATACTTGACATCAATCATAACTTTAAAGCACGTCATTTAAAAAATGCCTAAAGTAGAACACAATTTCAGAAAACACAAAGAATTCACAAGTATGTAAGGTAATAAACACCCAAAAATCCATAAATATATCTATCATAAAATGTACAATGATATATCTTACTTTTGGTTGATTTTTACCAGTTACACTAGATATTTTTGTCTTTGTCTATTTTTGTATAATATTGTGACTCTTATACTGTTATTCTAATGATATAATAAACTATAGTCGAAAGTGTTGAAATAATGATAAATTATTAACTGAGAAGTAAAATATTTTTTATGTTAATAGATGTCGCTTATCCCCATACTTCATTCGTGAGACTACACATGTAGATTTAAATGCCACACGTAAAAGTTTAATGACTTTCAAATTATATTCAAATAAACATGTTGAGATAACAAAGCATTTGTTAAAAAAGTGTTTACGTAACTCGTAAATGTTAAGAAGTGTAGTGCGCCAGAAAAGTCTCTCCGCAGGGCCGCAGATGAGAGCTGCTAGCAACAGAAACTATGTTGGTATCACGAGCTCCAGGCAGCGTTGAGACCGTCCGAAGGGGGTGCAGAAGCAGCGGGGGGAGGGGGCGAGGTGACGGTACGCATGTGACACTAGCGCCGCTCACGGCAGCGAAGCTGAAGACGGAAGTGTAGGCTGCATCAAGAGACTCGGATCGGTGCGGAGAGACCTTTCTGGCGCGTTGCATAATTTTATTTTATTGTACATACACTACGTAATCGAAAGTATCCGGTCAGGTAGCTGAAAATGACTTAACAGTTTGTAGCGGTCTCCATCGGCAATGCTGTAATTCAATAGGGTGTTGGCCCACCCTTACCCTTAATTACAGCTTTCACTCTCGCCGACATTTTTCAATCAGGTGATGGAAGTTTTCTTGGAAAATGTCAGCCCATTCTTCCCGGAGTGCTGCACTGATGAAAGGTATTGATGTAGGTCAATGAGGCCTTGCACGAAGTCGGCGTTCAGAAACATCCCAAAGGTGTTCGATAGGAATAAAGTCAGAACTCTATGCAGGCCAGCCCATTACAGAGATGTTATTGTCATGTAACCACTCCACCACAGGCCGTACAGTATGAACAGGTATTCGATCGTGTGGAAAGATGCAATCGCCATCCCCGAATTTCTCTTCAACAGTGGGAAGCAATAACGTGTTTAAAACATCTACGTAGGCTTGAGCTATCATAGTGCTACACAAAATAACAAGGAGAGCAAGCTCTCTCCACGAAAAACACGACCACACCACAACACCGTTTTGGATGTGTTCAGATACTTTTGATCACATAGTGTATGTATCCACGCGAGTACTGCAGGGTTCAAGGGGCGTGTCGGTGCGTGCGCAGGGCCGCTTCGACCCGCTGCCTGTGGGCTACTCGTCGGGGCTGCGCCAACTGGTGCACGCGCTGCTGCAGCGCGAACCGTCGTTCCGCCCCACGGCGGCGCACGTGCTGGACAACCTGCTGCCGGCGCTGCTGGCGGCCGCGCTGGAAGGCCGAAGCGCGCGGCGCGCTGTGGAGACGCTGCGGGCGCGGCGAGCACGCCCCGGCGGCGGACGCCCGCTCAGGTCCGTGCCGAACTTCCAGCCCTTTCTCGCCTACTACGTCCTTACATCCGCGCATGAGGCGGGGCCTGAAATGCGTCGGCGGACACGATCTCTGTATAGAGGAGGCTGTAGACTACCACCCGGACTCTGAGTTTCGCGGCCCGACTCACGTCGTTAGCTTTTCTAGGTTGGAGTCATGGAGTAGGCAATGCTAACTCCATGTTTACCGGGTTAGATCGGGTAACCCACCAGTTTTTGCCCCAATTTTTGCGGGATTGACGAAGGATGTATTTGTGGTAGGTTCTGGAATGCCTCATATAGAACTCAAGTGGGACATGAACCCCTGTCAGGTTGTCTAGGTTTCGGCGGTACTCACGTCAATAGATTCAATGTGGAAGCACTGAGGAGACGGGAAGGGGGTTCCAAGACTCCCGGACCTTGGTTCTGGCGGTCTATTGTTGAGCTCTTGGCTTGGTCGTGACAGTGGCCCAATACTCTGAGCCAAGAGGAGTAACTTGTCCAGGCGCATGTGAATAGCGCATTGTTTTGACTTTAGAACTAGCCTGGATAGCTAGGAGCTCTGAGCCGGCTGAGCGGTCCGGCCAAGGCATTGTAAAGGGGGGGGGGGGTTCCGTGAGGACAACTGCTCTCTGGGGGGACGCTTTTTAGAAGTTGGAAGGGATTATGATTTTTTCCGCCGATTTCAAAGACAAATTATCCTTTTACTTTTGCGAGACTCTGTCATACACTCACACTTTTCTGTACTTTCATATACCCACCCTTCACTTTCTATTTTACTGTATATTTTTATTACATATATGTAGGAATAATTATCACTTTTTCTGCTTCTGTGGCTGTAGATCTGTGCTTTACGACGTGAAGGTGTTCGAGGGAGCGGTAGCAGTAACACCTATTGCTCTCCCCCCTAGGAGTAAGATCAAAGAAGTGGCTTACAGCAACACGCATATCATCGTCCTCACCACAGGTAACTGCGCTCGTTTACTAGCACATTTTTTAAAACAACAATGAATTAAAATAATTTTAAGAAAAAGTTTGTAAAAATGTTCAATTCTGTTGAAAATTCTCATTTTTGGTTCATTAAGATTTGTTTGAGAAATTACAAAACAAACTGTATCAAAATGTTTTCATTCGAGGGCCGGGCAAAAGAAGATCAAAAATATATCAAAGTAAAGTACTTTTATTTCCCAAAGTACTCTTTAACAGTAGTATTTAAGAACTAATCCAACCAGCTCACCTTCTGTTTTATTATGTATTCATCAAAGATTTTGGCTGATGGTGACAGAACTGTTGGACTGCCTTAATCTTGTCACTGTCCGGGGTAAAACTGCGCCCTGGCAGACTACATTTCAGATTGCCGAAAATCAAAAATTTTCAAGGTCACGAAGTTCGAGCAGTATGTAAGATGTTCAAAAGCCTTCCCCTTGCGTGATATGTAAATTTTGAAGTACAGAATATTTTTGGGCCACGAAATATAATGAAATAAAGCAAAAAGGGTGATAATATGTAATTATTTATTGTAATGTAATATCTCGTGGGGTTGAAATCATAAACGACAAAACCGTCGAACGTTATTGCTTCCGTCACATTACGATCAATCACCGAACGCTAGAGCTAGCAGCTGTATATTACTATTCGAATATACGCGAGGCCGGAGCGCAGCGTGGGGCGCTCACAGCGCGGTGTGCGCTGGATGAGTAAATTCTTTATTATTGTTTTTCGTGCTTACACAGAGTTGCTAGTGTACACCTGGGGCGAGGGGAAGAAAGGCCAGCTGGGCCACGGCGACGTGGAGCCTTTCAAGCACAACCCCGAGTGCGTGGAAGCACTCAAAGGGAAAAGCATAAGCAGGTCAGTCAAATGTGACAGTTTTCGAAAATCATTGTTTTTTCAGATAAGTGTAAAAGTACATTTAGAAAATAGTAAACTTAACTAGTAATAAATTCACAAGGCTAGAGTAAAGAGTAAAATGATATTCGTAAAAAAATCTTTGAAACACTGTTTCTATATCAATGAATAACGGATGTCTTAAGCAAATTGATTGTGTTGCTAAGCTCAAAAAAACATGTTTGCAACAAAAATTTACCTATTAAGTTAGTTTAAAGAGACGAAGTTTGCGATGTTTCAAGCAACTTAATGAAAAACGATTTGCATACGGTAGTTGGAATATTAGAAGTACATAATTTGCAACACATTCACTGACATTTTTGTACCTGTTAAAAATTGTTCGGTTAAGTCCGTGCCATTGTAGATTTACATACATCACTTTCTAATGCATCAACGATAAGTGGGTTCAATTTAGTGTAATGTAAAAGAGTTTCTCCCGCTCCTTGTATCCCTTTATTTATTAAATGCTATATCAAATATATTGATTGTCTAATGATATGTGGTACGTGCCGGATGATTTTTTGTATGATGCTGTGTTTTGCTTGATGCGCAGAGTGGGAGCAGGGGACGGGTTCAGTGTGTTCGTGAGCGACTCGGGCATGCTCATGACGTGCGGGGACGGCACGTTCGGCTGCCTGGGCCACGGCGACTGGAACAGCGACACGCGGCCCAAGCTCGTCGGTCAGTACATCGCCAATGACTTATTACTCAGACACACCAACAATATCAATTTCTCCCAGACGTATGTGAAATATTTCTATCAAATTGGTGGAAAACGTGCAAACTAATTCACAGTCTTGGTGCCTACGAAAGCACAGCCGCAGCTCTGCAAAACATAAAAGTAATATTTGTTTTAAATTCTTCACATACACACTGAATACTTAATTACTAATGTAGGATCCATAATAGCTGGGCGACTTGGAATTTTTCCTCGTCTATACTCAATGCAACACGGTCTTATCATGACCGTGTAGCTTTATTGTTCAATATTAGTGTTTGTTTACTAGTTGCATACTAGTTGGTCTTATGGTTTGTTTTGAAAACCTCCGCGTATAGTTGCAGGGTGATGACGCGAACCAGCGTGCAAGTAGCGGCTGGTTTGGGTCCTTTTCCCGTAAACACTGTGCCCTATACTGTCGCTGGCTTTACGATTCATCAACATGTCGAGGAAAGGCAAATTACCCTCATTTCGTACATACATACCCACAAAATAATACACTTTTTTACACACGAGACGTTTCTGAGACTTATTTTACAATCACGAGAGTTCTAATGTTCACAATTTGATACACTTGCCATCCAATCATGGGACAAGAGAACGAGATATTTGTCTGAATTCTCTCAAACATGGACAATGACATTTTCTTCTAGTGTTATGTGAAGGACTGCTACCAGATGCGTGGAATCCAATTTAAAGCTTCCGAGCACGGGAGAGCAGAGCCCCCTGGCTGCAAAGTGTCGCGACTTACTAATACCAAACCGGCGCTTGTTCGCAGAGGCGCTGCTGAGCGTGGACGCCGCCGTGTTGGCGTGCGGGCCGCACCACGTGGCGGTGCTGAGCGGCGAGGGTGACATGTACACGTGGGGGCGCGGCGACGGCGGCCGCCTGGGGCTGGGCCACGAGGAGGACAGGTGAGAGCAGTGGGGTTGCAACCTCGGGGTACCACGCATTAGAACATAAAACTGTAGGTGAGTGAAAAAGTGAGTGAGTATTCATTCCGTGCACATCAACTACTTAGATTATTAGACCCGTTAGTGTAGAGCAAGTTATAGCCCCGTGGATCTCCGCCTCATCCGTGACAAGCTTTAGATGTGTGGTAGTGTAGTGTAAATGTAAGTGTCTGTGTAAAGGGAAAGGAAGGGACGAAGAGAAGCAAGACATTATCGCGCGCGATCCTTGGCCAGTTTCTATGCGGTTTGCTTGAAACGTAGGCCAATTTTAATTTATTTTTTTAAGAGCTTCAACTTTGTCTTAAATTTGTCGCCTCGTATGTATCAAAGGCCGTAAAATATTGGTGCTACTCTCTTTTCGGCAAATTCTCGGTATTTTCAAAATTTTCTAACAATTTCTCAAAGTTAACCTTACACCAATCTGATGTAAATGTGTCTTGTCTCGTAAGTAGGAGTGTGCGCGCGTACGATTTCGGCCATTAAGGAGTATCGATGTGGATGAGTTGATCAGGAATATGGTTGCCCCCGTAGACTGCGCACGCTTTCGGCTAACAGTGCTTGTTTCTGTACCCTGTCTGCGCCACGGGGCGTCATCGCGACTGTTGGTACTAGGGTGCGAGTGCGAGTGCGAGTGCGAGTGCGAGTGCGAGTGCGAGTGCGAGTGCGAGTGCGTGCCTGTGCGCAGGTGCGTGCCGGAGCGCGTGCCGCTGCCCGCGGGCTGCATGCCGCGCACCGTGCGCTGCGGGGGCGACGCCACGGCGCTCATCACCACCGACGGCCTCATGCTCGTGTGCGGCCGCAACAGCGACAACAAGCTGGCGCTCGCCGACCGCAGCCGCCTCGCGCTCACCTTCAAGGTACGAACCCGCTGCGATCGATCACATTTCTACGACTAAACGTTATTAACTTCTAGATTATATAGAGGAGTCAAAAATGATCACATTTGGCCAATAATATTGGTCAATAGTGGGGAATTTTATACAACGGAATTCTACATATGGCATTTGCTCGTGATTGTTAGTCATGCACAATTGCACAGATTTTACAGGGCCATGACATCCCGTTGAAAGCGTCAAAACGTGACCTCTCGAACATGTGTGGGCAAGACATTGCCTAACAAATAGAATTAATTTAAAAAAAGGGATCATTTTTTACCCCTCTACATGTTCTAGAAGTTTGTAACAATGATTTTGAGACATCTGCATAGACAAGGTGCGTTCCTAAAGTTTCAGGACTTCTTTTTCGTGAGAATGAGGAGAGCGCGCAGAGCGTTCCAGCGACAGGGTGAGGTAGTGGGAGTGTCAGATATGTAGATCGTTTGTGGCGTGAGTGAGCGCAAGTGACCCCCGTCAACAACTCTGTACGAAACTGAACTCAATAAAATTCTGTGCGAAACTGAACGAAACCCCCAAAAGAGAGTTTTGGTATGATTCCAGAGGCCTATCAAGAATAAGACATGTTAGATGCAATAGTTTTCATGTGGCACAAGAGGTTCAAAGATGGCCGCAAGAATGATGAAAACGATGACCATGCTGGGAGAACTTCTACAAGCTGTACTGATAAAAATGCGATGAAAGTGCTGAAGGTGCTGACATTTTAATCAATTACCGTCATCTTAATATTACATTACTTGCCGATGAACTGGGATTTACGCTGGAATGCTCCGGCGTTTTAAGGATCGATGCTCCTGCGTCCGCCAAGAAATCAAAGACGAAAATGCGACCTTTCACACGTCGCTCACCGCCGGCGACGTGTTTTGGCAAGTTCCACGTAAAAAATACTGCCGCAGCATCCTACAGCCGACCTAGCTTTCAGTATTCCTTTTTGGTTCCTCAAATCAAGAGAGACTGAAAGGAAAGCGATTCGACAGGATTCCAGCGGTCAGCAACTTCGTCGAGGACCCTTGAAGCCTTCGTCGAAGAGTCCAAGAGATTGGACGTTGGAAAAAACGGCTAGCGAGCGGTGTGTTGATGCGCAAGGTCTTAACGTTTTTTGTATTGCTGTTCAAAATGTTTTAATATTTTGTTGTTGTAAGCAGTCTTGAAAACTTGTGACCGCACCTTGTGGAGAGAACTGGTGAGACCGAGTGTGACTGCGTGCGCGCTGCCGCAGGGCGGAGGGCCGGGCGCGGGCGGCGGCGGGGCGGCGGGGGCGGAGCCTTGGGCGCCAAGGCGCTGAGCCCTGACACGCGTGCGCGGCCTGGGGCTGGGCGCGCGGTGGGGACGCGTCGCTGGGGCCCGCGCACTCGGCCGTGACTCACCGAGAGCGCCACCTGGCTCACTTCGGCGCAAGCGAGGGCAGCTGGGGCGCGCCACAGCGCGCGCCGCACGGGCCCCCCGCAGATGGTGCGCGCGCTCGCCGACAAAGTGGTCACGGTGAGTGCGGCGGCCGCGGCGCTCCGTGAGACGGGCTGTGCGAATGAGGGATGCCACCCAGGCCACGCTTCCCAAAAATCATGTTCTTGTCTTGTTTTTAACGAAAATGCAGTTATATTATTCAAGTAGATTTTCATATATTTACTTTCCTTGCTGACAAAAATCTTTACGCTTTGCATTGCGTATAAACGATCAGGAAAGATACAAAAACTTTAACTGAAATTCTTCGTCTACAATTCGGATATGTGAATCGTTTGAGTCCATTATGCCTAGTTTTCATACAAAAATTATTATGTGATAGATAAGCGACTAATGAAAAGGGAAAATAATATTTCAGTGATAACATAAATAATCATAAACAATAACTTTACTCACTGCATTGACTGCGTGGTTTGACTGCAGACGAGTTAATGGCAAATGAAATAAATTTTTACATATTCCTTAACAAGTAAAGACAAATTCCATAACAAGTGAAAACCGCTCTCTTTGTAGATGGTGCGTTGTGGAACAGCCGCTACTGTGGCAGGAACATTGGAAAACGACGTATATTTTTGGGGCACACGCTTTGGAGGTTTGATGTCAGAACAGGTAGGTGAAGGATTTCACTGAATAAGTAATGTTGAAATGTTCTTACAATGATATAATGATCTTAAGTCACGATTACCTTCCATTTAATAGTTTGTATTTATGAAAAATAAAAAATATAATTTGTATTGCTGATTTTTTTGTCCTTATTCGTCAACTCAAAAAATATGATTGTGGAATAATTTGAGATACACTACTAGTTGTTGGGCTTATTCAAATATTCTAAATGTGTTAAATCATATGTAAACCATGGAGGAATATATCCCTGTAAACAAAGTTAAAAACATGAAACTAGCTCCAAACTGTCAGCTCCTGAACTGTCAGTTACATCATTATGGGCGTAGTATTGTGCATGCGTAAATATTGTAATAAGCATTTATTAAAAAATTAACTTAGTTCCATTAAATTAAATTGCACAGAATAACAATTAAGCAATTTGATCTGGGCTGTCCGGGTGACGCCGCGTCGATGGCTGATGTGCCGACGTTTCGACCGACATGTCGCGGTCCTCTTCAGGGGCTGTACTGCGCAATGATGTAGGGCGCTCTTGTTTGTTTTGAGGCAATTCAGCCGACAGGTGTTCCGGACAGCCCAGATCATGACTCTGGCCGCGGAAGCCTATGACATCAATTAAGCAATTTATTTTTAAATATCACGATTCTTTTTGTTTCTGTCCTCTCTGGTATGTATTGAGATTGAGAAAAGAGCTAAACCGACAAAAGTGTAGTAGAAGTTTTAAGAAATTTCGTTTTGTATAACGGTTTGACGGCTGAAGTAAAAATATTTAGAAATCCACGAGTGCATCTGCATGGTCCCATTTATTCCTCTTACTTTCCCCACCTGCTACCCATACTCCCTCTCATATTTCCCGCATATTTCCTCATGAGTAACCGCAAATTACGTTGGAAATTCTGAATTTTATTGTAAGTCGTTTTTGATAATCAAATAATATTCTAAACATTAGGGCGCCCGACAGTGCAAGACTTCCTTGACGAATCGTAATGCAAATTTTTTATACCTTGTTTCCAGAAGAGCGAAAACTAACAAAATGTATTGAAACGGGGCAAAAGATATGACGTTTTGTTAAAAATTGCATTCGCGATAATATAACTCTTTTTAAATATTTTTAAAGGGGAAAATGGTTTCATTTTGGAAGACAACCAACATTTCTGAAAACAGAGGCCACGAACGTCCCTGAACAATGATATAAAGCGTAGATGATAACGGTGGTTATGTGGGTGATGAACAGGGGATACGAGAGGACAGCAAGTAATTCCTCATAGATTGGCCGGTTATTGATCACGGTTCCTCCACATTTTACAACTTGTGCTAAGGAGAGCGGAACCGCCCAAAAATTTAATAGAGCATCCAATATGCATAAAGTTTTCAGTTTCAATAAATGTGAATTTTTAATTTCTCTTTCTTACAATGACATTGAAACATATCCAGGAGGCCTTTATGTCACTTAATTACCTAAACAATATTTTAGGGTTTATCTTGGGGTTATCGTTAATTTAGGGTTTAGGGTTTATCTTGACGTTTATCAAATGAAATTAAACAAGAAAAACAGTATTATAAATATAATTATTATCGTCTTAGTGAACCTAATAATTTGAAAATATACATATGTTAAGTGGAATTAAAGTTAATCCTGTATCCTTGTACTTGTTTTCCAAAGGATATCCTCAACAGCAGCATGGCATCGCGAGTGAGTGGTGGAGGGCAGTCGCTCAGTTCTTCACTGGTAAGGAGAATGCCACAACGCACTGTTTCTGTGCACTGACTTTCTTTCTCAATCTCAAGGAAACATATAGTTGAGATAAATCATACAAAACAAACAAATAAAAATCCAACCATCAGGTTCGAAATATTTTCCATGTAGAACTAATTAATATTTAAGTTAATGATATCTTCATGAACTTAAATACTCTTAAAATATTCGCACGTTTCATATTGCGATACATATAAGAAAATTGAAACGTACGTATTCTAATAATATTGTATTTATTGCCATGTATGAATTAAATGACGGGTAAATAAATTATGAAGAGAAAATCTCTCATGTATTTCTTCAAAATTACTCCACCGTCCTATCACTACAACCGAATTGCTCTTTGTACGAGTTGCAACTCGCTTTGAAACGTTTTGCGAATCGATTTCGCACGCAGGCCGTTTGTTGTTGCGCAGAACGGGTCGCAGTACACGAGCCTCCTGAGCGCGTCGCTGCAGATGGCGCAGACGTCGGAACGCGTGCTGGAGCCGCAGGAGATCCTCGCGTGAGTCACACACACACACACACACACACACACACACACACCACAAGTACACGCCTATATTGTGCTACCCGCACTGCAGAACTGTGCCTCTGCCTGGGCTCGACAGAAACAGCTCGCGCAGGGAAGATGCATACATGCATTTAATATCTAATATTCTATTTTTTAAATTGTACATTCCCAAGAAGTTTTCATTGAAACTATAAGTGTACATAATTATGGATAATACACATATTTATACATAATATATGTTTAGATATCATATGCAATTGTTTCACTTTGACGTTCGTTTTCAAACATAAATGCAATTTCTAAAGTTTTAATTATGGACACCGATTTAATAGCAGACTCTAGACACCCACGGCATTAATGCAAACGTTTCACATTCAATTTAGCAATTGTCCTAATTTTTTTTGATTCAAAAGCAAGTGAACCTTTCGGATATCCTCCAGTACTTCCACCAACTGCTACTGCCCCTGCCGCTCCATTGAACGGACGGCTCTAAAATTCCAATCCCTAATTTTTAAGACTATCTTTATTGTTTGGTCAAATTCAGCCACAGTCAGGTTTCTCCAAACAACACCTGGCGCTAGCTGAAGCGATACTTTGAAAAATTGTCCACAGACCGCGCACGATCTTTCCTTCTCATCTTTGTATCCTTCTCTCCCCTTACTCCACTTAGGAGGAACACCGCCACCTCCCGCTGAGTAACATGAGCTATATTTAGATAGACTAATCATGTAAGCGGAGACGCGGTGGCTCAGTGTTAGGGCGCTGGCTTCCTGTCTTGAAGGATAAGTAAGGAACATAAGTTGGGATTCTTATCTGGTGATTTCCATTTAGAGAGGTTCTGAGGCCCACTTAACATCCATCCCACATGAGTATCAGAATGTTTCTTGGGGATAAAGGCTGCTGGAGCGTTGTGCTCCCCCCACAACCTGCTCCTCGTGCCTCGGCGACCAATATGTGGAGCCCTACCTCCACCTCTCCTTTGGGCATCGTCGACTTGTGTGCGATTGCACAGGGGTGCCTTTACCTTCTAATGATGTAAGTAGCTGCAAGTAACGCGAGAGTGAGGGCAGTGCGTGGCGTTGCAGGCTGTACGCGTCGCCGGGCCAGCTGGCGCAGGGCCACACGCTGCGGCTGGCGGGCGTGTACCCGCTGCGCTACAGCGTGATGGTGCTGGTGGACACGACGGTGCCACTGGCGCGCCTGCCGCCGCCGGGGGAGGGGCCGCGCGCGGGCCCGGGCCCCGGCCCCGCCCCCGGCGACGCCCCCAGCGACAGCGACGACGACGGCGACAGCGATAGCGCCGACAGCGACGGCGGCGACGGCCTCCACGACCCGCGCGCCGCGCCCGCCCCGCGCCGCGCGCCCTCGCCGCCCGAGTACGACTCCTTCGGACCGGTGCGCCTGACTCGCCTTTCTTTCTTTAGCTTTTACTGATACGCTACGCGTTGGTATTGCATTCGGTGCGGAGCTTGTGTCCAATGTATAAGTTATCTGGTTCCAGAGGACCGTCGGAACGAGGGAAATACGAAAACACTTAAATGATGCTACAAGTTCTCTTATGGAGAGTATTATCTAGGGGACTTAGATGAGGGAAATATGAAAAGACAATTCGAGTCAAGTTAACTTCTAGGAAATTAGTAAACAAGTAAATCTGAATAATAATCTTCTTTAATAATCCTCTAGCTTCTTAATTCTCTAGGTTGTTTGCGAATGTTTTATAAAAGAATGTTGTTTACCAATGTTTATATAAGAATCTCAAGAATACATATTAGTACAGAACACACAGAATTTGGCAAAAACAAACCAATACAATGAAATTTATTCCACAGATTAGAAATATCACAATATACAAATGGTTAGAATTACATAACAGTACCAGAATTTTGACCTTGAGAATTAAGTCCTCGACGGCCTGCCATCAGTGTCAAGACGCCGTGGCATTGATTCAAAGGGAACCTGGATATGCTGCTAGATAACTCACTGCCACGCGGTTTCTATGCGTGACCACAAAGCATCGACAGTGGCTGCAGGAAGACTAGAACGAACAAGTTGCTGACCGATCATATCCCAGACATATTCGATGAGCGACATGTCAAGTGAACGTGTGGGCCAAGGAAACAGATGTACCGATCGTTCTGCGCAGAAAGCTTGCGCATTCCTCGCCACAGTAAAGTCGGAAATTGTCCTGATGAAATATGGCATGTGAAGCTGCTTGCGGGAGGGACAGTATCTCGGGCTCTAAAACCTCCCTAACGCAGCGGTTGCTGTTCAGATTACGTATGAGTCGAGATCGCTCATTGTAGCCAATGGCGCCCCAAAATATCACACTTAACTGTTGTCCATTATGGCGCTGAAGAATGCATGCTGGCTGATTGCGATCATCATGGTAGTCAAAAACATACACGACCAGCGCTGTAGCACAAATTGAAGCAATCTGAAAACAGTACATTTTGCCTCTCCAATGCATCCCAATGTTCATATTCTAATGCTGTCTGAGACGTTGGTGGTTTCTGGAATCCGACGAAAGAAGAATCCGACGCAGTGGTATGCGTGCCACCAGTCTAGCCCTGAGTCGTCGCAGACGTGACCACATCCGTTGCAATGCTCCAAAGTCGAGCCAACTCTGTGGACGACGCGTTTTGTCGGTTATGGCCTTGCGGACAAGATAGCGGTCATAGCGCTGTGGTCACATTGTGTGGTCGTAAACCCGCTCGTTGCTGTGTACGTCCCTCCTCTATCCACTGGTTCCACATACGCATCACTGATGTAGCAGAGCGCCCCGTTCGAGTCGTAATGTCACGCTGCGACAAACCGACTTCCCAGATCCTTCTGCACCTACGACAAACAGGGCAGATCATTCTGCCCCGTTCGAACTAACTCGGATACTGGTAGTACGCCCTTTGGCATCGACAAGGCATCTGGCTCTTTTTCACGTTTCCACGCTGTTTGACGGCTCTACAGCGAATAGGTGTGGCGTAACACTGACATGACCTGTCACACAAAAGAGGGCTCTGGTAGGCCAACGTGCACGCTATTTCTATGCAATCACTTTTTATGGCTTTAGTATTCTACACATTCACCTATTTTTGAGTGATTCCGACCATTCCTACTTGGTGTTGCAATTTTCACCAACAGCAGTGTATAAAGGAATGGAGTGTTGTAGAACTACATTTACTGCCCTTAAGAATACCACAGAGCCATCTCAATATCCCTTCAATAGATCAATAGCACTTGTCAAAACCCTGAACGAGATAGAGGATTAATTTACGAGGGAGAATTCAGGGTTGTTAAATTGCATGAAGATTCTCTTTCTTGCCGATTTCACAGATGACGCGCATTCTTTGCGAACTCTTGATATGTGTTGCGTTATAAGAAATGTGGGGAATAATCCGACCCCCGTGCCCTAACAGAGCTTTAGTTTATTGTCAAGTTATCAGGTGGTGCAGTTTGTAGCAAGAAAATATCAAGCGCTAAAGATGTTTTGTTTACATTTCACTGAAATATTTTAATACATTTTTCTTTTTGTATTTAATTTTAAAAACCAAAAATAATTTCGTTTATTTTTAATATTGTGTTTTTTCCCTTTTGTTTTATTTTATAAAGAACAAATGTTTTTTGTGGGCAAAAAACTTGGATATATCTACTTCAAGCGCTTCAGAATGTTTCAAATTTCTTTCTACCTAACAGCTCTGGCAAGGTATTGTCAAGTGCAATGTCTTTCATGTTATTTGTATATTAAGTTACTTCTGAAGCCGGCGGTTTGAAGGACATTTTTCCTCGCGTACTTCTCCGAATCGTATGGTCATTTTGGCCTACGAATACTCGTAGGTGAAGTATTGACGGACATCCTTCATGCCGAGTTTCATTTAATTTCACATTTCTCAATCCTGAATTCTCCTTTTCTAAAAGTTGAGGGAAAGTTGTAATCAATTTATTTCGAGAGCTATTGCGATATGTAGAGCGTACCAACAAGCTCTAGGAACGCGCGGGAACACATTCCGGTACTGCTTTACGGGAGATTGTATACAGTTATTCAGAAGTTTATATTTTTACAGTTCAAAATAAAACGTCCCGACACAGAAAAATTAATGTGGGCGCTCGTGAATATGATTCAGGAAGTCACAGAAACACATTTCCTGAATTTTTTTTGACAGCTAAGTAAATCTTCATCTCTTGCTCGTTTAAGTATTAGTATCCTGTACTATCCTACTGATATGAAAGAAAGATGTTAAAGATAAGGCCAGTAAAAAAACTATTATTTACATGAAAATTTCCTATAAAGATAATTCTGGTATGCGAACTTCCCAGTCCTATCCAACATCTTGCCATTCAACATCACTTCACCTTTTTCAACGGAAGAGACTAGATGTCCATTAATTATAAATAGTAAATGATATTGTTTTCCAAATTGTGTTTTATAATTTAATAATTCCTATGTGGCATTTGTGTAATTGTGTTCAAGCAGATTTTTTTTTAAAAAATTGTTTGAAAATGAATAGCGTTTCGTCAATTTTTTTGAACGAGTACATTGGATGCTTTTAGTTTAAGAAAAACAAAAGGGAGAAGGTGGTGAGCGGTGCGGGCGTGTTGTGTTGCAGGTGCCCGACTGGATCCGGCGCGAGGTGGCGCAGTCGGACCTGGTGTGGCAGGGGCCCGCGCACTCCATGCGCGTGCAGCCACAGCCACAGCCACAGCCGCCGCCGCCGCATGCCTTACCGCCTCTTCCCCCTCCGCGCCCACGGCCGGTAGCACCCGCCCATGCCCCCACTCCGCCTCCTCCCCCCCGCCGTCCACCCGACGATCAATAAGCATCCTTACTCCCATTCGGCGACGAGCCTTCGGATCCCTCACTTTCCACATGTGGGTCGACGATTTCGGCTCATGCAATCGTGCTGTGGATATAGCGCATTGATGCCCAGTATTCAATAAGTTCTACCATAGCATTCACACCGTAATTCATTAATATCAGAAGGTCAATTCCAGTGTAATCGTACTCATTCCACGGCGAAATATTTTAACGAGGGATAATCAAGGCATTTGGTCTAAATGAGGAAATGTCAACAAATCATGATTCGTCAATTTATGTATATTTAACATGGTATGAATCAATTATTAAATAATGGAAATGTCAAAAGAACGACATATCTACTCAAAATCTGAGGCAAATCCTTTTTGTTTCTCTTAAATCTACTGGGGATAGACCGGGTTTGCGGACATTTTAATGCATAATTCGAGTCTCCATTCGGTATACTACGGGTCATCGAATGTGAAATGAAGGCATGCCGGATTTTGCATGCTAGCAATATTGTCCTTGGAATGAGTGGACTTAAAGACACGTTTCCAACCGTTTCTCAATACAAAAGACAGAAGCAAGAAACTTTTCCTCTCATCGAGCAAAGTTGTTATGCTAACGTTCGTTCAATAATGAATATGCGTTTCAGTTATCTACCTTTCGTTAGATATTTAAAAAAACGTGATATGAACACAAAGAAGTTTGTATTTCAAAATAATTGTAATACGTGTTATTCTCGTGAACGAAAAAGACAAGTTTAGAAGAGTTATTAGAGGATACAATTTTGTATCCTTTTTCACAAGTTTCCGAAAGAATTGTCTTTGAAATACTTACTTAAGACGAAGGAGTATAGTGAAACTTTACTTTTCCATTGTCATTCCCTATTAAATCTCTCCAGTTTCTATCCAAGTGGCCTAATATATGAAAACAAATAATTATCCTATATTTTTTTAATTATTCCCATAACATTCATCTAGCTAATTAAAATCACGAGTGAGAATGTTAAACCTAACACGAAAAACATACTTCCTATGTAAAGACAGTATTAATTTTGTGTGCAAACATGCTGTACATTCACGTGAGGGTTGTGTGCTTCACCTTTATATTGCGAAATAAATTTTCCTATAATTCATTAGCGAAAAAATACAACTTGATTTTTTTTGTCCCTCTCAATCATATTCTTGACTTCCATCATCCTAATTTCAAATCCTGATGGATTTCGTAACATGCTGTCATGACCACATGAATGAATATAATAAATTATGGTAAATGGCAAGGTGGAGTTACATCACACAGGTCTACAAAATGAAACTTGTAATCATCAGAAGTATAAGCATATTTTTAAACTAGTTTTTAATACAGGTAAAGGTTTTTCGTTCAGAATTGTGCAATCACCCACCATTTTTCTACAATAGCGAATCGTATTACGTTAAAAATCGATCATAATCATTTCCTTGTAAATGATCTTAGTAAAGCTTTATCAGAAATGTGATGAACTCCCACGTCTCTTGGGATATGCTGCAGGATCTTCTCTGTATGAAAAGCCTCCATGTCCCAACAAAAAGATTCACTGAAATTACCACCCGAACCATTGCTGCATTCCAATATGATATTCCCTGAAGTCCAGCAAATATTGTTTCATGTATTTCAAATAGATTTAAATAATTTCTAAAAGATTAATTTTTAAATGTATAAACAAAAGCTCAAATGTATCAAACGAACAAATAAATATAAAATAATATACAAATTCTAACTTACGAATCATCCAACTGCCTAGAATTACGTTTACGAAACGCAGTAAATTCGGAGCGGCGATAATGTTAGTCGCCAAATTACACAAACTAGTGGTGCTGCTAAAGCACATACTTTTTGGTAAAGATTCTAAACGTTACGTAAATTAAATTGATTTGAATATTATATTGAACAATTAATTTGATGTGACATACGTTTTACAATGAGAACAAGAGAGTTCTAAACTTGTGTACATTTAAAAATAACGAATTGACCTACCAACACATCCAGTTTGTTTAGAATTTTAATAAATTGTATATATGAATAGAATTGCTTGAAATAGTTTTCAATAAAGTTCCTTAAATTCTCTTAAGTTCTCTGCGGCAACAGAGAGTTGTCACAAATAATTACCCAGAGCCAGTGTCGAGCCAGCGGTCCTTCCGTCCGAAACGCTGAGTCCGAACTCAACGTGTAACCACTTTGGCCACCTGGGTTGTAAAGAGAATTGCCTCTTCTATAACAGTCACAAACGCTGAAAGACAACAATTGATTTGATGGTACATACGTTTTACAAATCGAACAAGATATGTGAAAAATTGTTTAAAAGTTGAAAAATCGATAATCACATACTGTGACCAATTACATAGTGCCGGTCACGCGAGGCAGGCACAGCGAAATTGAAATGCCCACGCGATTGTCGCCTAGAGGTGTACAACGCCACCTAGGCTAGTAAGGTCTGAACTCACGGCGGCCACTGACTCCAAGGAATAAACACTGACAGTCGGTTGGGGTGGCGAGTGAGTGCATGGAGAAGGGGATTCGGCTAGTGAGATTGGGAGTGAACGGAGGGCGGTGTGTGAGGCTGAGAGACTCAGCTGAGCCCGGGAGTGAGGCGTCGTGACAGAGGCCACACGAGGAAGCTGGTCTCTTCGCTGCAACGCAACCCGCTACCTTACGCGAGGCAAGCTATCACATGGCCGCGCCGAACGAGTGCGCGGAGGAAAATATGCACGGCTTTCGGGAGCTGGACTCAGTCAATGACTGTGGAGTAAATACCGTGAGTGACTTGAAATCAGTTACTGCAAATCTTAGCTGAAATGTAGTATACGGTACAACCTAAGGAAGTCGTTTAAACCGGCACTTCGCGCCGTTCCGGAGTTAACTAGGCAGTTAGAATTCCGGAGGCTTTCTTGAAAAGTACTTTCTTATAAAAGTGAATCAGTAATTATGCGTTGGATAGACTCAAGGATGTTTATAAGTGAACGCGAGGGCCGAAGGCCCAATTCAAACTTGCCTTTGAATGTAAATTGGCGTTACAATGCGGCGGGAACAAAGCATATAAGGGCGAACCATGAAAATATCCTATTCGTAAGTTTTACTCATTTCTATTAGAGCACGTACAGTAATTAGAGCTTAAGCCCCGCCGCCGCGCTTCTCTAAGGGGTGTACCTTATACTAAACTTTAACTCAAATCTATGTGTGGATAAAAATTCTTGCCACTTCACAACACTTCTTAGCTTGCATTATAAGATATTGGGTATTTGATTATTGTGTAAAGTTATGTTGCTGTTTGCCTTTGTTTTCTTAGTTGCAAAGTATCACCAGTAAACTTTGACTGGAATTCTGTACATGATTTTGTAACATGTGTTTTTCAAAATTATATTAAGTGTGAAGGGATTGTACTTGAGTATGTAATTCCTCAAACTTTCATTGAAGGAGCCCCTAACGCATTAATATCCCTTTGGATGCTCGCCTTCTCTACAAAGTATCATGCATTCTAGGAACGTGTGAACTCAGAAATAGAGAATGGTCTCAATACAGACACTTCTAATATATTTATCTTGATTAATAGGATTTGCGATTAGAATTGCTTCAGATGGTTTTCAATCAAGTTTTTGGAATTCTTAATTATTTTCTGCGGCAACAGAGAATTGTGACAAATAACATTTTCCAACCAATCCAGACTCAATCCAGCGAACTCCCCCCCCTGGAAGAGCTGACCCCGTAAACACCAATTAACCACCTCGGCCACTCGGGATAGATTTTACACTTATATATAGTAATTAAGCGTATGGTGATAAAAGTTCTGGCATTTGGAAGCTGAAAATCGAAAATTTGTGAAATACATTTCCTTTGGGCGACCAAAGAAGGTATCTGGGAAGAGAATCAGTCACAACTGAAATCCTAGTTCAGACTAAGAGGTTAGAAAAGTAAATAGTGCGTGAAAATTTGTGCCATTCTATAGCACCTCTAGTTTATTTACTATTTATTTATTTAAATAGCTACTTTTCTAAAAAAATTCTAAGGCCAAAAAATCTTCAATTTTGATCTTTTTAAATGTTTTTTGCAATTTTTCAAACGAACGAGCAATACCCAAAAAAGGTACTAATACCATATTTCTAACCGTTCCTTTATTACAAATATGGAGGAAATTTAAAGAACTAATTTGCAGGGGATTTTGAGAAGAAAAAACATAAATTTCAACCGCAAATTACGCAAAAACTACTAACTTTTACAAAAATATGTGCATTACATTTTTTAAAGATCTAATTTTGTACGACAGACTTTGTCTGAGCCAAAAACCTCTATCTTCAATTTTGTACTTTTAAAACGTTTTTTGCAATTTTCGAAAAATCGGGGAATTCAGCAGGAATTAGATATAAAAATTCTCTTAAATGTCCTTCGCACTAATTAACAAGAAAATTTAATCAAAAACTTTGGAGCTGTTTTTGAGAAAATTTTGAAAATTAGCGTAATTGTTTACAAAAATACGGACAGATGTATCGCCATAGATAGATTTTTCGGTATCAAGGACTCAAAAAACACAGATTCAGGCTACACAACGTGTTAGAAGATTTTTTTACTAAATTTAGCAACTGAGTTTTTCCATTTTTCGTTTCCAGGGCACAGAAATAAGTTTTTTTCAACAAAACTCTCTTTTTTTCCACGCAGCACTACATAACGTTCTCTCTACTGCCTAAGCGGTAACGAGAAAGTAAAAAAATGTTATGATAACAAACAAACATTACATAATTGCTGTTGTTTGAGCTCGTATCTGAAATAACCGACCTTGAATTAATATTATAGAATTTATTTTATTCATGTTACCGAGAAAAGGTTACAATTTGTTCCCCTGTGTAATTAATTAGAAAGTACTTCTCATATGAACAAAGTAGAGTCATTCTTCATATTTCCGGTAGTTTTGGTTCGCAGAATAGATTTGATTGGCCTCAAGTTGAAACACTACCCAGGAAATGTCAAAGATAAGAAAAGTAATCAAAAGAGTTTTTTTCCAGAAAACATCAAAAGTGGGCGTTGCTGTACTTGTAATAAAGAGGCTAAAGCGTCTTTGTTGAATTTGAACTAAATGTGGGCAGGATATGAATCAAATACTGATCAAAACACTCGAATTATTGAGACACACCGCTAGATAACAGATACCTCCCACGATAATGTTGCGCTAGTTATCATTATATATCTCCCTCAGTTCTGCAGTCTCCCGATTTCATTATCGTCGTGCACGCAGACTGAACAACTCTTCACCGATGAAGATCCTCTTTGTCGCTCTATTTTTACTTGCGGCATCCAGTGCCAAAACAACAAGGTAAATCATATGCATTTCAATAAATTATTAGCAAATTAAACCCCTTCAAAAGTAATTGGATAAAAAATAAATTATTAAGTTATTTTGTAGAATTTGTATTAATAACAAAAAAAGCTCTTAAGACACTATCTACCAACTAGTTGCTTTTATATTTGTAATCTCATTACTATAGTCCAGTACAGATTAATCTGTGCCACAAAATATTGAAGTTTCATGCATTTTTTGGGATTATTCAGATAAAATGTTTGCCCTTAATGTGGTAATCCACCCTTTGTGAAAAACTTGGAATATTTATTATTGAAAACATTAATTTTTTATCATTCGCACGTGCTCATGGTATATTTTTATTTCTTAATTAAAAAAAGATAAGTTCAATTATTTGTATCAATTGAGCTATTTTATCAATTCAAACGATTCATAGAACAGAATGACCCAGGAGGATTCATCTATATTTTGGAAGGTCGTGATATCGGTCAGTCTAAAAAACCGTTTATATGAAAGTGTGTTGCTTTTTCCGAAGGGTTTCCCAGATAGAACTAGCTTACTATTCAGTATTATCTGTGTCTTATTATCAAGGATCTCCAATACAGGATTTGCTGCGTAATAACGGTATGATATTTTTAACTGCCATAGGTGCAGCTTACATAGGTATTGCAAAACACTTTCGAAAATTCGCTTGTAGATAACAGTGCACTTTTTAACTCTTATAAAGACACGGGGTGTTGCTTATCTGAGTGCTTCTTGGCGACCGCGGGTGAAAGTACCTTCGTACATGGCGGGATAAAGTTAATTGTGTTAATTAAAAAGTCTATCGCTCTAATAGTGGTTCTGTTACCGGGCTTTGAGTCAATCTGGAGGACTTTTTTCCGGAGTGCCCCAACATGACTTGGCTTGGGACCCCTCAGTACCTAAATCCAGTTCTGGCAATATATACTGGGATGAATGTAAGCAATTAGTACATGCCTGGTACAAAATTCTAGATAAGATATCATTTTCCCCTGGGTGTCTATTTTTCAAACGCCATGGGATTGTCCGTATGGGTATAAACAATATTCATACAATGTACGCCAAACATGCGTTCGATGATACATTCGTCTAGTGCAGACAATGGAATAAAATATTCTGCAGTGCTTGTCGGAAACTGAAATATATAATATTCTGTGTAATGAGACAAAACCCACAGCAAAACATGTTGCTGAAGCAGATGAAATATTTTTGTCGATTTTTGCGGCAAAAAAATTATCATGAAAACACTGTACTATATCCGCTACAGACATTCTGAAGACATGAAAAAATGCCAATTTTTAAAATGCTGTAACTCGCTTGGTAACAGATTTGAAAATAAAGGTTTTATGTAAGTGGCATATTTTGGTTGCCTTTATCCTCTTTAAAAATAATTTGAATTATTTTTCTACAGAATATATAAGATTAAAAATTTCTAGAGAGAAAATCGAAAAAGATCAGAAAAATACCAGTTTTTCGGGTCTCCCGGAGTTAGTAGAGTATCTAGGAGGTTTAAATCGTGGGAATTTAATTAGTGCCTGGGTACATGCAACACACTTAAAGAAAAAGTTTTTATGTCGTTTTCCAGGTAAAATGTACTTGCCGACTAGACTATTAGGAAAACAAAAGATGCTGCCTGCACGTGCGGAAAACTTCGATTTTCAGTGACATTTGGAGTGTGCCCCGAATATTAGATATACAGTTAAGGAGAAATGTATAACCAACTATTTTATTGTTAAAGAAGTATTTCTTTGTTTTACTTGATTTTTTTAAAATTTATACACACTGACAGAAAATAATGCCAAAAAATACAAATCTGAAAGAGCTGTGAATCCTCAAAATAATTTCAGAAAGGGGAAAATTACATTTCATTCCCACAACGCTTCCAAGATTTCTTCGATCCAAAGAGTTTTCTTGTGCCCTCCCCCCTCATTGGATCTGCCACCTTTCTGTAATCTGCTTTACTTGTTTATGAGTCATCATGCTGTTTAATCCACAGACTCGTTCAAAAAAGAAAATTTGATCAGCTATTTTTAATTGATATATGATTATTGATCATTGATATTTAATTATTTATCTCTTTCGCATTCATCCGTGATAGTAGCAAAGTATTCAAAGAAACAAAGGTACCGAAATGCCTACAACATGATTAATAAAAAAAAGTGTTGCGTAGGGTTAATGTCACAATAGCCTTATTTAATTATTTGTTTGCTATTAATGTTGTTTTGTTTCATTTTATGTTTAAACATAGGAAAAATGTTGAAGAATATTCTTTGCATGAGACGAAGGATATGAAACCAAGAATATCGAAACCATCGTCAACAATATTAGGAACTATAAGTTCAGGAGGTAAGAAAGTGTCACCTCTCGTGATTTAACCAAATTAAATTTCTTTCTTGATAACTGAAGGGGTCGAAAGATAATAGTGCTAATCCTCATTTCATAAATCCAACGCCACACAGGAATACCTTTGAAGACGTTTGCCTTAGAATGTCTCCTGAAAACAAACAATATGATTGAAATACTAAACAAACGAGTTCATTGAACAACGGTATGTGAGTAGAAAGCTGCCAGACGTGTTTATAGAAAATAAGACACGTCTAATTGTACTAAAACATTGCTTTTACTCTGGCTGACAAAAATTATAGATATGGTCCCCGACACCTTCAGTTCTCTCATTTTCTACAACATATTCAATTCAATTCAATTTTATTAGTAATTTGTTTTCAGGATTGTCCTATTATAAATAATACAGTAACACAATAAAAAATACAATAGCATAAGATACACAATAAGTGAGACAACAGAGTATACAAAAATATACAAAACGAAGTGTATCAAGTGAGGCTAAACTCGTTATAGATATGATAAAATACTAATAGTTCAATCATTGGAGTGCTCATAGAATTTTGGCTTGAACTATTCATTTGTAATAAATGCCCGTAATTTCAGAATTGATGAAATAAAAATGTGCAGAATTTTAGATCTTTCAGAGTTTAGTTCAAAAAACAATTGGAAAAGGATAATAAAATTTTAATAAAAGTAATAATAAATTAATATATAAAATAATTATAAATATAATGTATATAAATACATAAGGTAAGTTATGCAAATACAGCCAGCGCATGTAATATGGCCAAGTAGCGGCTATATTGTTAGCTGAAAATGTTTTCCATAGATAGTCCTAGTATGCTGTCTGGAAGAGCGTAAAAAGTGCGTTAATCCTCTACCAGGTTTGTTGACTCGCGCATTCGCACTCAGGATCCTCTGTTGTGCTCAGGAACGTGCTGAAGGCGCTCGAATTTCACAACTTCTTTCGAGAAACGTTTTTCGTTAGTTACACTTAAAGAAGGATTTAAATTTTGACAATATACATCAACGTTTAGCGCATTTACCGAGCAATCTAATGAGATTAATGCTGTTTAATTGCCTCAATATTTTACCAACGTGAGAGAGATTTTGTAACATGTTTTTCCTGACAATATGGCAAAGGGAGTAAGAAAAGCTATTAAAGACAAAGAAAATTTCATATGTCCTTAGTGTCATACTAATAATACTATTTTTGTTTGTTTGTAAGTTTTGTAGCAATTACTGATGTTTTCAACTTTGTCTAATAAAGCCTCATTGTAGAAAATACTGAATGTGCTATGAGTAACCCGGCAATCCTTGCGTCACTGAAATCATGTCAGCACGTATTTTTTTAAAGTAGACCGTGAAAGGGTAATTAATACTATTATATATTAGTAGAGCTAGCCCTAATTCTATGGTCATACTACAAGAAACTAGGTAATCGGACAAAGGCGATAAAACCTCCATGTAGGCATATTTCCTTCACATTACAATGTCATTGTAATTAGGGATATGGATTATTATAAATGAAGGGTCCATCAGTAACGAAAAATAAGAGAGCCCAACATTAAGGGAAGGAAAAACTGAAGTTGCACCCTTTTATTCATTAATTTTAAATAGAGTTTTCGGGTTTGTAGCTCTCTTCGCCCAAATAAAAAGTGAATTATCGCACTGTTTAACACACAGCGTTTAATTAATGATTCGTGCTTTATACTGTGAAATAATTTAATTTTTCTGTGATTGCATCTTGAAATTATCTTCGAATGGTTTATTCATGGCAGCGTGGGTACCAATGAAGGCGGGAGACCCATTGCCTGAAGGCACAGTGTGGGCTGGTAACGACAAATCTGGAAGCTTCTACGTTGGTCGCTCCTTCGAAGACGAAAGTGTGCCCGAGGCTGCGTCTGGCGCGTATGTGGCCTCGCAAAGAGTTTTTATTCACACATACGCATCGCGAGTAATTCAAAGGGACGAATTTGAGGTAAGACGAATTCCCGATTGGTCATCAGGCATGAGATTCTCGCCAAAAACGCTCGCTCGTCCAGGTAATTTGCAAAGTACTCAACAAATGGTATAGCGGCTACTTCGAAACAAATAAACGAATTTTCCCGAGAGCGTTCAAATCAAAGAACACAAATATTTTTTTCCTTTGATGCGGCTCACATGATCGACACTGCATGGGGAATAGAGGGCGTAACTGAAGAACAAAAACATTAACATTTTTCGCTTTTCAGGGAACAATTCTTGGAAACTCCCGAAATTCGGCATGTCTGGCACCACGTTGTTAATGCAGAAAAATAATATCTCCGAATATAAGTTTGTACATGGCCATCATTTGACTAGGAGGGACATATAATTTAGTACGTATTGAGGGATCTTTATCTTATACACTAACATAATTTTGCATTCTTTGATTATTCCCCCCTCAAACAAGTAACAAAGTGAGTCATACACATAATTTTCTGAATTTTAATTTGATATTTATTGTTTAATAAAAACGTTTTTATTTGCGTAAAAATATTATCTGGTACGGTACCCAAAGAATACTTCTACCAAAGTTTCAAATAGTCAAAGAAGGGGAAAACGTTCTGAATTCATGTCATTAAAACAATAGTGTTCTCTAATAGATTGTCAGAGAATGATAATTTTGATTAATTGAAAACGTGCAATAAAAACATAATTGTATAGATAAAGTTTGGAAAAATATTTTATTTTAACCATAGAAGTGTTAAATACAACGAACTGAATACCCGGAAAGATTAAAGCCAAACCAATGCAATTCCAGATTTTTATAGAACTGATTTATGGACGTGCGTATGTGTTTCAAGATCCGTACATTAAATTTAAGTAATGCATTGGAGTGCAACCCATTGGTAACGTCTGATTGCAGATTCTTACATACAATGTAACTGATCAACCTCGTCTTGTGTGGGTAAAAGCTGACTCAGGTTGGATTCCTCCCAGAGCGGTATTGGCCGGAGTCAATTTGGAAACCGGATTGGAGATTTTTATTGGGAGATGGTTGAATCAAGGACTGTACACTCCTGGAAAAGTAAGTATAATTTTGTACAGGTACGAGGCGCATGCACACCTGTTCGATTCAATAATAATGCAAATATATTTTTAGTGGTCATAATTGTGTTTAAAGTTCGAAAAAAATATTCTATCTTAACTCTCAAAAAAGACCATTTTTGAGAAATAAATTGTGATATATTTTATTTCCGTAACTTCTTTAAGTTCAGTATGTTTTCATGCCAAACAATAATAATGAATTCAACTTTACCTGTTAACAATATTTTGAAGCAAATACATTATTTAGTTGATTCGAATAGTTTGTGCGAAATTTAAAAAACGTCTATGATAATATTGAAATATTCACTGATGTGTCTCAAAGAGAGGGCCTACGCACACAAAATTAAGTAAGGCTACCCGCATTAATATTTGTGTGTAGGCTTAATTCTAAAAAGTCTTTAATCCTACTGCAATATTGGAGTATTCACTAGTTAGCAAGATAAAACTTATTGGAATTTAACTGAAGTAACCCGTCATTGTTTATTATGAACACCTGTTAGAGATTTGTTTATCAAGTATAAATTGGAAGTAATTTTATTTACATTTGCTCTCTCTAGTTCTCCCCTCAAAGTGTTGGACTCGGTTCTACTTCCATTCCACTCCGCTCCGCCTTGCTTATATGAATTCCTTACTGCCTTTTTCCAATTTGGTGTAAAAACCTACATCAACTTTGTTTCTTTAAGTGATGAACTAAAATATATTTTCTTAGAGGTTATGTGCTTTGTAATACAGCAAACATACGTTAATACGAATCCCAAGGGACCGAAAGTATCAAAGTTTGTATTATAAAAGTTCCATCATCGTCTTTGTCACCGGCGCGGTGGCCCAAACAACCTTTACCAGGGTGAGGGGGGGGTGTCCTCGCCTCAGGGGTAGTTCTCACCGTAACCGTGAGCATAGTTCTCGCCTTCACCCCTACGAGTTCACAGAACGCTAGCCTCCTAACCGACCACTCCTCAGGGACGGCTACTCACCTAAGCCTGGGGTTGCCCTGCCAACTTCCAACATCAGTATTAGAGTCGAATTAAAAACATCATTCACAATGTGCCGGAACAAGTCCCTCCTTAATATCCATGAGTATCGAGCCACGCCACATCGAAGCCAAGAGCTCAAAGGGGGTCACCTGGATTAAGACCTGCGCAGTCGGAGCTCTCAACCTGTCACCCCACTGCTCTAGCGTATATCATAGACCGCTAGTAGGCTATGCCAGCGCTAACGACGTGAATATTGCCGGAAATTCTGGCATCCGGGAGGAAGATTTCACTTCCGCCAGGCCTGCTGTATGTGGGACTATGACGCAAGGCTACTGCTCCAATCCTAACCGTGGAGGACAAACCGTTTCGGATAAAAGATATGCTCAAGGCGTAGAACGGGAATTCAGTACGTTATTCAAGGTGTTTAGATTGCTTTACCAAATGTTTGCCGTTATAGAGTTTTTCTTACGTTACAATTTACCTTACATTCTATGACTACTCTGGGCGGAACCACCACATCTCAGACTTTTTTTTATGCAGCCCCTTCTAAGAATAACTCTTTTGTGACAATCACATACATATCAAAATTAAATTGAATGCATTCATGCGAAGAAAAATGTAGCTATTGGCAAATATACAACGGAAAACCAGGCTTTGCTTGTTTACGTGGATAAACATGTTTACTACTAGTGATTACTCAAACATCATAATTTGGACATTAAATATTAAGCTAAGCATTATCACAAGCACATGTAAGTTCTACTGATCGATTCACGTGGCTTTGATAATTGTTTATTTTCACATAACAATGCATTTTATCGACTTTTTATCAAACACGTCGAATGTACTTGTGGTATTGCTTATGATCATTTAAACGAAAAATATTAAGCTGTTTGAGTAAAACCTAGTACGCATTCACAGAGAAAATATATTGAAAGATAAACAGTTTCATGTTACGTAAATTACATTGGTGGGAAAAAATGATAACATTTTACTGATTGATGGAATTGGTAGAAGTTTGAATAATTTCTTTCTGACCACTGTATACTCAGATCATCAGTGAATAGTCATTTCCAATTAGTTTTATTCTGATAACAAGTGGTCATTGTCATGATGATTGATCTACAATTTAGTGGACAATACGTACTAAATAGATAGAATTAGGAGAAAACAGTAAAGAATTTTCGTAGTATTTTAAATTACTCGTTTTAAAATATAGTTTTATGCAACAAATAGAATAACAAATGATTATTTTCTTCCAACAGATATACAGAAGCAACCAATACATTTTTGCCCCCTGTGGCAATTTTGAATGTTTCTCGACCGAATATGAAGTTCTTGTTGAGCTGTGAAGAACAATACATGTCTGCTGGGCGCTACCCAAGGTGTATGTTGTGTAAATATAATTAAACATATTTAATAAAATTTTATTCATGTGACTAAAATAATTATTCTGGTTTTACCTGTTTCCTCAATTTTATCGAGTCTCTCCCAAAAAATGATCCCTCTTTCACTATTTTTTTTATTTAAAGGATATTTTAAAACATTTTTGAACTTAAGATATGTAAAATATAATACTTAATTCCAAAATACTAATTATAATGATCTTAATTATTTCACAAAACGATCAATAGGTGTAGAAATTTAACATAGAAATCTATACAAATATAACCAAAAATCCAATTACGGTTTTCATTACATTTATATTACGTATATTTAACATTTGATGTCAGGCTACCTCAGCAGTGATATATAGTAATTGAAAGAAATTTGCGTGACTATCCGCATTCATCAGGTTGGCGTCCAGTTTCCCTGATTCTTGAGCAAAGGCTGAGATGGCTTCTTGGTTTGCTCCTGGACATAAATGTAACTTCAATTTAACATCTCCCAATAGCACGTCACAGTTTTTAGTTGTTTTTGACGTATAAATAAAGTCACGGAAGTTAAGCGAATTCCAAACATCACGGGTTCTTGGTAGGGTGTCCCTCTAGAATCTCGGGATATAACGGCGCCGTGCCTATGGCCACGGCTTAAAAGGCAATGACTGACCACGACTGACTAAATTAAAGGAGGATTGCTCTCCAAAGAGTCCAAGTCTGTATTTGGCTGCAAACGGAACGTTGATGCAAAAATAGTTTATTAACAGAAAAATGGTAAGTGTGGTGCAGATGTAGTACTATATTAGTACGACTTTCTGAGTATTTTCATCTTTAAATTGATGTAATTTATCAAATGTAACAAGATCACATCAGGTTTACATATTCATGCATTGACGTAAATTTACATAATTCACGTAAACAAGCTAACTGTAAATACTTTGTGCTCTATTTGCCCTCGACGAGTGTCCCTGGATAACCACTTTCAGTGGAAGAGGAATCAGGCCCTGATAGAGCATAGTTACATGTATAATACAATACTTTAGTATAGCAGTACATGCTCACACGTTTTTTGATCAAATATAAGATACAT